GCGGGAGGAAAGCCGAGGCGAGCAGCCGCCGCCCCGCGGAGGGAGAGGGGGAGGCGGCGGAGTCACAGCAGCTTCAGGTTTCCTCCTGCGGCGGGCACGGAGCGGGACCTGCCGGGCCAGGGCAGGGTTGCACCCTAGCGGCGGCGCCCGCTCGCCCTGGGGGCCTCCACGCCCTGTTGGCGCCGGAGGAAGGAGCTGGCCTGTCCGCTCCTAAGGGGAGCAGTGCCAAGCCCTAGGGAGGCTCGGGTTGTCCTCAGCCCAAAGCCACCACACCCGGGACATAATAGCACCCGGGTCTGTTACAATAGGAAGTACTATTTTAAAAGCAGCAGTCCTCTTAATTCGTGGGGCTGATGGATGTTACTCTGGCCCAAAGCTTTACAGGCTCGATTCCTTAGGTTTTTCTGCACACAGGTGCCTAAATGACATCTTAAAAAAAAAATTATTAGGTTTTTTTTTTGTTTTGCTTTGTTTTGTTTTAGAAAGTCATAGCCACTTATAAAATACTCAGCCATGTGAAGGGACCCCCCCCATCTTGCTGCATCTAGTTACTGGGTTACTCAACCCCAAGGTGAAAATTCTCTCCATTATACGGCTCACCATAAAATGGTAAGTTTAAGACGGTCGTTGCAGCTTTAAATATAAAATTATGCATCTGTTCTTCCAAAATAACCTTGAATATTTGCTTTATTTTTCTCAAGATGTCTACATGAACGTGAGAGAGGTGGTGGCCCCAAGAAGCTGGGCCACCAACTCTCCAAATCAGAAGCAGGACCCCCTCCCTAACCATCACCACCAGATGCCCCGGGCGGGCCACCCTCCTAATGCTCCTGGTTTAAGGAATGACAGGATAGCAAGAACAGAGGTCCAGGGGTCCGCGGTCTTTAGTCCTGCCCCAGCACAAACGCCGCTCTTCCTTCTTGATAAAAGACCTGGCATTGACCTTGTACTACTATTGACACTTACACTCGTATCAACCGACCTCACACTGCAGCACCTTGGGCCCCAAAGTAAGAGCCCTCACCATTGAAGAACTTCAAGGTCCTGAAATAAAAAATAAAAGCAATAATATTATTTTTCAAGCATCAATATTTTCAATGTGAAAATGTCAACCGGAGATTAGCTCCGTCGACACACCAGACAAAAACAGTTTCCAAGCTGGTTAGCAGAAAAGTTCATAAAAGAAGCCTTCGTTGTTGGTCTCCTTGTTGCTGTTATCCTTTTATGTCATTTTTTCCCTTTTTCATGGATTCTGTCATATAGCTAGAGAAAAGCAAGGAATTGTGGGAAGAGGAACAGGTATTATAAGCCATTACCCAAACCTCTTCCACACTAAAAAGAAGCAAAAGAGAAAACTGCCACTGACACTCTCAGCAGGACTGTGGACGAGGACGTGGAATCCCACTAGCTGCAGTTTCTCTTGCCCTCTCCCAAGCACTGAACTTGATCAATATTTAAATAAGTACTTGGCTTTCACCTGCTCTAGGTTTAAACTCTAAGCGCCAGCTCTGGCAACTTCAAAAGAAGCCGGGGACTGCCTGAGGCAGGAAGATATCCCTTGTGTAAAGAACCCCTTGCATCTGATTGAACTGTGTCCTGCAGACACAGGTCGCTCAGGACACCGGTAGCGCTGAGTGGGGCTGGAGCCGCAGGTGTTTAAAACTGAGGTGAAGCCTGCCATTCTCAGGCCACAGAGAAGGAGCATTCAGCCAGGAAGAGAGCCGGTGGGCCATCCTGCTGGCATTGCCCCAGTTTTCCAATGAGTCCGCTGCAGGGTCCCAGCTGGTCTGTCTTGTCTAGCAGTCCAACCTCCGTTCTTCCTTGACCTTTATTCTACCCAGACCTCCTCCATAAGCCCCTTCTCCATTGTTCTGCTTTCTTCCACCCTCCGACCTTTGACAGAGAGCCGTAGTCTTATCACACGAAGTAGCCCTTGCCTATACTTGCTGTCATAGGCAGGACTATTAAAATTCTTGCTCTGTCTCCAGCATGCCCTTTCGAGGACAAAGAGCTGATGATCTCCAGTCCTGGCACAGGGCACCTGGGGAGTTTTGAATGTTAGTTTAGTTGTTTTTTTTTTAAAAAAAAAAAAAATCCGATATGCAGTATGGAAAATGTCTGTCACAATTTGTGAACATTAATGGATAAGAACTAGTCCCAACTCTGTTATCACCTAGTAGTTCCCTATACTTTATTTCCTTCGTTAATAACTCTGCGAACATGAATAAGAAAATCCAGGATTAGGTTATGAGCATTAACTGACCAACCAATACACTGTTCCAAGTAAGTTTCGTTGACTTAAATGAAAGCTTGGTCTGAGAAGATGGCCAGTTTGTCAGGGAATGGGGCAACTTCAGAATTAGAAAAGGAATGACCTTGGGTACATAGGTCTTTCTAAGCCTTCATTTCTCCATCTGTAAAATGTGAGTAGTGTCTGCAGTCACTGTGGAGATTAAAGGCCTGGCAGGGAATGCAGACTGAAATGACAAGGAAATAGTGGTAAGCAATATTTCAGAGGATGGAACATTAGAACACTTCTTTCTTTTAAAAAAAAAAGATGTATTTAGTTTGTAACTACACAAATGTGTGCATACCTACCTGGGGGGAGCGGGTCTGTGTACATGTGGATGCAGTACCTGCAGAACTCAGAAGAGGGCTGCACACCCCCTGGAGCTGCAGTCACAGGTAGGCTGTGACTGTGGATGCTGGGAACCGAACCCTGCTTGTCTGGCAAGAGCAACACTGGCCCTTAACCACAGGGTCATCTTGTCAGCAAACACTTAACAGTCAGACTGCAAGTTCTAGAGTTTTACATACTTCCTTGGTCTAAAGTCGGGGCTCATAGAGGAAGGAGGTTGTTCTAGGTAGGGTGGCATTACAGTGACGAAACATCCTGACCAAACCATGGGGAGGAAAGGGTTTGTTTTGCTCACTCTTCCATGTCACTGGTCATCATGGAAGGGAGTTAGGACAGGAACTCAAGCAGGGCAGGATCCTGGAGGCAGGAGCTGATGCAGAGGCCGTGGAGGGGTGCTTCTTACTGGCTTACTTCTCATGGCTTACTCAGCCTGCCTTCTTATAGAATCCAGGACCACCAGCCCAGGGATGGCACCACCCACAACAGGCAGAATTCGCCCAATCAATCACTAATTAAGAAATTGTCCAACAAGCTTGCCTACAGTCCAGTGTTATGGAGGCATTTCCTCAGTTGAGGTTCTCTCCTCTCTGATGACTAGCTTGTGTTGAGGTGACATAAAACTAACCGGCAGAGAAGCCATTCTAACTTGCTTTCTATGGCTGTGACAAATGCCATAACCAAAAGCAATGGAAGGGGAACTGTTTATTTGGCTTGCATTTCCTGATTATAGTCCATCAAGGTAAGTTAAGGCAGGACCCTGGGGGCAGGAACCAAAGTGAAGGCCGCAGGGGAGTGCTGTTTCCTGGCCTGCTTTTTCAAATAGCCTGAACCACCTGCCCAGGGGTATCGCCCATATTGGGATGGACCCTCCCAAATCAATTATTAATTTTTAAAATATGCTCCCATATTCTTGTCTACAGGCCAATTTAATGGAAGCATTTTCTCAGTTGAGGTTCCCATTTCCCAGGTGACTCTAGATTGTGTCGAGTTGGGGGAGGGAGGACTAACAAGCACAGAGGCCAACATGCTCAAAACCAGGGGACAGGTCTCAAGTGGGACGCTGTCCATGCACAAAGTTGCCTTCAGCTAATCCCTAGGAGCCTAACACTCTAACACTGAAGATTTGTTCTGCCTCTATTGCCACTCTTAAAAAATAATAAATACTTTTTATTTTAATAGTGAATAAAAAATAACATTTTTTTAAATGAATGTTTTAATGTAAGTATACCAAGCAATGGATTTCGCTGGGGACAGTGTTTATATTCACTGTAGTTCTCTCTTCTGCCTGCATACCATCACTACCTGGAAGTAAAACCTCTTGACCCCTGGGCTCCACACCAGACCAGAATCTCCAGGGGGGTGGGTCCCAGGTTTGTAAGTACTGGGAGGATTCCCAAAATCCAGACCAAGGTGAAACCAGATGACAGGAACTGAGTTTGTCACCAGCGCAGGAGGATGAGAGCCAACCTCCAATGACGCGAGGGAAAATGACACAACCCTTCCGCTTCTCCCGTGTTGGACAGCCAGGCAAGAACATCAGGTGTGCTGTGCTTCAGGGACATGCGCATGGGAATCATGTTGGGATTTGTTGAACGCTACATTCTTGTTTAATATCAGCTGAAGGCTGCAAGGCTGCCTTGTAGATGGAAGTTCCTGTTCCACCTGATCCCACAGCCATTCAGTCCCAAAGAAACACAGAGGCTTATATTAAGCTGTTTGACCTCTTAGCTCAGGCTTATCATTAACTAGCTCTTACAACTTGAATTGACCATAATTCTTATCTATGTTTAGCCACATGGCTTACTTAGGACTTTTTCTCAGTGAGGCATTCTCATCTTGCTTCCTCTGCATCTGGCTTATGACTGCTTCTGTCTTTCCTCTTCCCAGAATTCTCTTAATCTGGTTTCCCTGTCTATTCTTCCTGCCCAATTAGTAGCCAATCAGCATTTTATTAAACTAATACAAGTGACAAATCTTTACAGTGTATAAGATCTTTATCCTGCATTTCTGATGAGCTTCAGAAGATACCCACTTGCAGTAGCATGAATAATAAAAACCAGAGACAGATTTGGGGTTCAAGCTGAAGATCAGAGAAGCAAAGCAGCCAAACCATTAGAGAGCTCTTACCTCAATGAAATCTTGAGATTGAAAGGAGCATTCTGCCTTATATTCCTTTTTAGTACTGAGATTCAATGTATGCATGGACATTGCCTACTCTCTAAGGCTAACTAGTGTGGCTGCTGGGATTAAAGGTGTGTGCAATCACTGCCTTGCTTGTATGGCTGACTAGCTTTGCACTCTGATCTTCAGGCAAGCTTTATTTATTAAAACACAAAATATCCCTATATTCCCCTTTTTGACTAAAATTAAAAGGCTATAACTAATATAAGAAAAAATATCAATAAGTATAATAACTATATACAATATATATAGGTTGTAAGTATTTCAACAATGTCTAGTCCATTTGCATTTGACAAATTCAGAGAAAATACTTCACTATCTATCCTGTCTTGGTGAGTTCAAAGTCTCATACCTAATTTATTTTCTATCATAATTTCCATTACCATTCAAAACTATATTTTGCTATCTCTCAACCTTATACACTGTATACTTCTTTAGTGAATCTCTTTTCTGAGTCTCATAAACAAAGAAAACTATAATTATAACTAGTCATCAACTACCTCAGAGACCTGAGAAGGAAATAATATTAGCTGAGTAAGCAGGAAATGGAAGCATGCAACTTCCAAAAAATGTGAGAAATGACAGAAATAACTTGCTGTCTGGACAGTCAACGAAAGTTCTTCTGCAATGTTGGGGCATCCATCTTCAGTCTAAAAACCTAGAATATTCAACAGACTTTTCTATGAAGCAGAATATTCTGAAAGACTGTCCCTCCATGTATTGGCAAAATATGGCAGTTACTCTATTTTGTGCCCTGCTTGTCCATTTAGGACAGCATACTGTTAGCAATTGAGGTAAAGGTATTTTCTTACCCAGTGGCTTAGTTTTTCACAAAGAAAGTAAACTCCATATGGACTTTCTTTGATGCCCATTATCTTCTCTGAAGTACTCTGAAGTAGATTGGTGTTATCAGGAGTAGACTTGTCTCATTCTCCTAAAAAAAAAAAAAAAAAAAAAAAAGAACTTATGTTATTAAACATCTTAAACGCCATATTCTATAGATCTCTGAGGTGTTTGAAGACAACCTGTCTATCTTAAATATAATTCTGCTTGATCTTTTAAACATACCTAATATGACTACAAGACTAATTGTAATAGGTGATTAATTACTAATCTGCATTTTCTTATTATCTTAAACAGTTGGTAATAATAACTTTCAAGAACTAAAAATTTGCATTACATTGTTAAATGAGCTGTATAGGTTCAATACCTTGAACAAGATTA